AAAGAAGGGAGCCATAGTTATCCTCAGATATGACAAGGTAGGGGAGAAAGTTAATGAGGAAAATGAGAATCAAGTCACTATAGAAAACGAAAACATTAATAAAATGCATTAATCTCCAAAATAAAGAGTTACTCTGCTTATGGAAATATATTTTAATAAACTGAGGCTCTTCTCTACTGCATGGTGTCCCAGGAGGTGTGGCATAAATTTGCTGAAAGACATTTTCTTCTCTGTGACCTCAGAGTATCTACTATAAGCAAAATAATTGGCATAGGACCATTATTTCATCTCCAGAAGATTATACTTTATGGAATTCTGCATGCATTTATTAAGATGCAAGTCTTGGAGGCCTCATAAATTACTCAAGTTCGTGGTTTCCTTAAACTTAGAAGAAGAATGTCTTATTCTAACTGCACAGGTTTAGATCTCAAGGACAAATGAAGACCAGAAAGATAGTTTATCTACAAGCACCAAAAACAAATTCATTCGGAACAGAATGTGGTCACCAGTAGGAACTGAGCCCTCTGGGTCCCCAGCTCAGCCCAGATCTGCATACTGCCTCACTGATTTGCATGATTTCCCTAGAGGCCATTTCTGTTCCTTGGAGTCCTCATGAAAGGCTGGTTGGTGGATCTGGGCAAAAAGAGCCTCAGCAGAGGTAAGACCAAACTTGGGTGTCCTGACCCCTCTTTTCTGCCTTCTGCTGCTCTAGCGTCCAGGTGAAGGAGACAGCTGCAGAGAACACACCCCAGATGACAGGAGTTCCCTTTTTCTTGTGGTGAGAGACTCCCAGGGACTTTGGGACTCTCAAGCTCATGGTCCTTTCTCAGAGACCCAGGTGCCCTTAGGTTAAGGGACCAAGAGAGCCCTGGTCTGCTGGAGGACAATAGGCTGGGACCCACTCACTAACACTGGTTGTGTTTTCCTTGCTTCTCAGACACCAGTGGGAGCGCTGTACTGACACATTCCCCAGCCTTCCTGAGTGTGATTCCAGGTGAGAGCATCTCCATCACCTGCAGGGCCAGTGAAATCATTAGTAATTATTTAACCTGGTATCAGCAGAATCCAGGCGAGTCTCCTAGGATTCTCATCTATGTTGCTGATAACCAATACCCTGGTGTCTTTGATTGCTTCAGAGGCATACAGAGTGGGACAGAATTAATTTTCAAAGTCAGCAGGGTAGAGGCTGGAGACTCTAGCACCTATTACTGCCAACAGGACTATGCAGTCCCTCTCACAGTGTTACAGCCCCGCACATAAACCATCTGCACGGGAGGTTCTGTGGTTTCAACAGCTGCCCTGTCTCCTGTGCCACGTTCACCACTGCAGCCTCTGTGATGGGGGTGTGTGGGTGGCTATGCAGACATCAGTGGTGAGGGTATAGAGGACTTGTCTTTCAGAATATGTTCTGTTGACAAAACAACCCTTCTAACCTTCAGTGAAGTCTGGACATGAGACCTCTATGCCAAGACTACACACGGCCTGTCTGTAACACGGTCTTTGAATCTTTTCTCTGAGACACTTTCTAAAACATGTGTTGTGCAGAGAACTAATGCAAAATAGGAATCCCCCTCCAGGGAAATATGGAAGATATTGCTAGTACTACAATCCTAATAGTATTGAAGAGCAAATCTGCCCCTGTCAACTGCCACTTGCTGGTTTTAAGGCTTGTTCTGTGTCGAATACTGGACTCCTCCAGGTGGCTCAATCCCCTATGAATCCTCTGTAGATAAGGAGTCAGAGGTTCTTATAGCATCGCTTGCTGAAGGTACCAGCACTCATAGGTCAGAAGATAGAAACATATTCTACTCCTCAGAACCCATAACTTCATTCATTCATTCATTCATTTATTCATTCATTAATTCACTAAAATGAGATGATATTTAATGCAATACAGTGTGTTTATCGTACAAAAATTTAATACAAAGTGTATAGCTGGTAACTTCATACACACTTTTCTTTGTACCAGTACTCAGAGGGCGATACAACCCTGTTTGCAGCATTTCACATGCCCCCTTTTTTTGCTTCCACCCTAGTGACATCCTGTCTCATCCACTTTTACAGGAGGCTGCCATGCTCCTGTCTTCCATCAGTGCTGTTTTTCCTCAGACATACATACTTGTATGTCTTTGGCCTCTTCCTTCTTTCGATCAACATGAGTTTTGCAATTTATGTGTTTGCTTAGTTAGTAATTTATTCCTTTTATTTTGAATAATTCTCTATGACATGAACATGCCAATTAGTAAATTTATTCCTGATTTCATTAGTTGTTTAGCATGGAGGTTGTTATTAAGTTTCAGGGATTTTTAAAAGTGTCTTTTATGGACTTGTTCATTCTGGCTCTTGACTATATTCTTAGGGCTCTTGACTATATTCTTAGGGCTGAGTGATGTAGTTGGTTGTTACTGGAACAGCAAAAGGAAGGAAGAGCAAAAAATATGAGAGAACTGAATCTCTTTTTTTTTCTATAGTTTTATTAAGGATGAGTCTGTCCCAGGCTTCTATGACTAAGAGTTCTAGAGTCTACATACGTGAGACCATATTGTATTTAATCAGCTGTGTCTGAGTCATTTCACTGAGCATGGTATCCACTAGTTTCATCAGGGTTGTCATGAATACTAGGGGTTCAATTTTATTTTATGACTAATATTATGTCTTATATGTTGCTTCCACACCTTGGCTGTTGTGAATAATGCTTACTGAACATAAAAGTGCAGATATCTCTTCCATATTCTGATTCCATTTCTTTCAGAGATACACAGATGAGATCGTATGTTGCATTTATTGCTAAATATTTGAGAAACCTCTATAATTGTTTCTTATGATATTTGTACCAGTTTACCTTTCCACCAACAGTATCATGTTGTTTTCTTATTCTCCACACCTTCAACGACAGCTGGTATTTCCTGTCTTTTTGAAAATAATCATCCTAGTAGATACAAGGTGATATTTATTATGGTTTTGGCTTGTGTTTCCATGCTGATTAGCATGATTAGCAGCACTTAGTGCCTTTTTACATATCTACTGATGTCTGCTTCATTTGGAAATAGTTGTATTCTGACCCACTTTTAAGTTGTGTTGTTTGTTTTGTGTTTACGTTTGTTTTGGCTATTGAGTTGTGTGCATATATATCTTCAATATTAAATACCTATTGGATATTTGATTAGTAACTGCTTTCTTGCATTCTGTAGATTTACCTTTCCTTTTAATTTTGTTGAATATTTCCTTTGTTTTGCAGAAGGCTTTTGTCCCACTTGTTTAGATTGGTTGCCTGTGATTTTTGTGTTACACCTGAAAAAGCACTACAAAGACCAAGGTCAAGGTGCTTTACCTGTTTCCTTTCTTTTAGATTATATAGTTTCAGATCTCACACATGAGTCTTTAATAAACTTTAAGTTCATTTTAATAGTGAGGGGCATAAGTTTAATGATTGTTTTGCTAGTGTATATCCATTTTTTCCAAAACTATTTGTTGAAGGTATTTTTCTTCCCTGTTGTGTATTTTTGGTGCTTTTGTCTAACATTCATTGATCTGTATGGATATTTTTGTTGTCTGTCTCCCAGGAAATGGTATCAGTACATGGAAGGAAGAGAAACCTAGTGCTGCTCATCTGTGCAGGTGTGGTTGTCCACTGACCTATACCACTGAGCCTAATTGCAAGCTGCCCTTTGTAAATTCTCTACAAAGTAAGACTGCACCAGGGATCTCAGGAAAGACTGAAAAACTGCAAAGAAAAATACTATCTGGAAGACAAATTCCATGCAAAGACTTAATTCAATTTGACACAATCAAACACCTAGGGAGATGATGAAACACAGTAGAGGTAGAGAGAAGCAGTGTCCCTGTTATGGATCAAAAACTGGTGGTCAACTTAACACCAGCCGAGTGAAATCAGCATGGTGCTGACTGTAGAGGGCCCACCTGAGGGAAGTGCCAGCATAAGAAGAGATGTGGAAAGGAAGTGGAGGTTTTGTGGATCTCCTAAGTGTTGTCTTTTGAAGCTTTCCCTGATATGAACTCTGTCATTATCACTGGAGGAGCTTGGGACCTTGTTACTGAGAACAATCACAGTTCACTTCGGGGGAGCTCTGGTTCTTAAATTCATCATTGCAACCTAGCTTTGAAGCAAAAAATGTGTGCTGTTCAAGTTGTGTGAGAAGCTTGCCACTCTGTATCCCTACATGTGCTTGACTGTTATCATTGGTAGAGCTCAGGACCTCACTGTCACAGAGGATGTCTGTGATAATTTGAAGGGAAACATGGTCCTTATTTTGAGCATTTCTTCTTGGCTCCAGTGTGGAACCCTCTACCTGCTAGCACGGATCCTGCATTCCACTGGCATAGACTTTCTAGCTTCCACCACTGACCTTTGTGCCTTCCCAGCACAGATCTATAAAACAGGCATGCAGGAATCATTATCATGAGTTCTATACCTCCAGGTGTACTCTTGAGAGGCATTGTCATAGGCTCCAGGTCTTCAACTGGACTCTTGCAAGACATTGCTGTGGGATCCAGGACCTCAGTTGGATTTTCTAGGTCTTCACTATGGTGCACAGATTACCTGCAATTTCTTATAGGTCACTCTGGGTGACCATGATAAAATAATAGTATAAATTTGTGTCCTGTATGTAGTTGTTCACCTTGTAGCTCCTGACTACAACAGTCTCTCTAGGCTTCTATCTTGTTCCTAGACTTGTACTGAATGCCATCTGGCTGAGTCTTGGTGTTTGGTAAGACAAAGTGTCACAAAGAATAAATTCTGTGAACCCAACAGTTAAATTGTTTATTCAGGCTGAATAAAGGATGTTTTCTGACATGAACACCTGGGGGGACATTGGTCAAGTGTGGAGAAAACCAGACCAATGTTGGCAGTGCTGGAGCCCTGCTCTCTTAGCTCCAGCTGCTTTTCGTGCTCCTCCCAGCCTGCCCTGCTGTCCAGCGCCCATATCAATGCCCCGTTCTGCTGGGTGATCTGCTTCAGCAGGGACTCAGATTGAACCATGGAAGCCTGGGCTCTGCTCTTCTGGGTCCTGCTACTCTGGATCGCAGGTGAGGGGACTGTGGATGACAACTCAGCACATCTGTGGAAACTCTTTTTAATGTTGAGTCTTGTGTCCTGGCACCTCTGATTCAGCAAGCACAGTAATTAAAGCTCAGCATTGATCAATGCGCTGAGAAGACACTATTGAGAGTACAGTGGGTGTGCCTGAATTACACAGGTAATATTTCTTTTCTATGTTTCAATCTCAGATACCACTGGACAAAAATTACTGACTAAGACTCCAGCTTCCCTGGCTGTGTCTCCCAGACAAACTGTCACTTTCAGCTGCAGGGCCAGTCAGGGTGTGAGGGACTACTTAGAATGGTACCAGCAGAAACGTGAGCAGGTTTCCAGGCTCCTCATCTATGCTGCCTCCAGCAGGACCACTGGCATTCCAGGCCGGTTCAGTGGAAGTGGGTCAGGGACAGACTTCACTCTCACCATCAGCAGCCTGCAGCCTGAGAATGTTGCAGTTTATCACTTTTACCAATATTACAGCGGGTGTCCCACAGTGATTCAGCGTGTGACAAAAACCTCTCTGATTGTTTGTCATGATATTGCTCAAAGCAGCTTTTTCCTTTAAGGACAGATGCTGTGGTTCCTGCTCAGTTTAAATGGCTCTGCCTCAATCTGGCAACCATCTGATTCTGAAAAGTAACTTGCTGATAAGGTTTTGACTGATTGCTGGATTTGTTCCCAGACTCAGGTGCACAGCCATGTGTAGGAATAGCTTCCCTGCTAATGCCATCAGATCAGACTCATATTAGTGGTTGCCTAGAAAGATGTACATTTTATGCTCATGAAAATAAGACAATACAATAACCAACAACAAAACTGCATCATATGGATGTGAGATTAACTCATGCATTCTGAACAGAAACCGTTCTTCCAGTTTTCTTTCCTAGTATTAATTTGATTCATTGCAGTGCAAATTCTCATGCTATTACCTTAAATATTAGCTTTTTAAAAATGATTGATTTAGAGTTTTGTTTTTCACATTACTTTTCAGTGTTGTGGCCGAGATTAAGTGCAGTGTTATTTTTCTTATATACCAGCACAGCTGCTGGGTCTGTACTTACCCCTCCCACTTACTACACAGCTTAGTTCCATTCTCATGTGGAGCCTGGTGAATCCCATCATGCCACTGGCTTTACAAAACTCTTGACACAAATTTTCTTTTGAAAGCTGAGTGATATTTTCTATTATTGCCACTTTTATTTTTCCCTTTTTATCTTTCTGTTTCCTCCCTCCTTTTTCCTCCAATGGCCTTGAACTCTAATAAATGACTGAAACAATCATATTAATAATCATCAATGGTGCCTATTCCTTATTTTCTTGTTATTAGCTCACTCATTCACCTATTAATTTTAGTGATATAATCAGCTTGAGACTCCAGCCTGCCGAATGCAATTAGGGCAGTAATGTTTATCTGACTCTATGAGATTCACACCTCCATTTGATTATTTCCATGAAATAGTTCATCTCAATTAAGAATGGGATATTCCTCAGCTGGGTGTGGTGGTGCACTACTGTAATCCCACAATTTGGGTGGCTAAGGCAGGCGAATGCTTGCAGGTTCCAGTCCAGCCTGGACTACAAGGTGAGCCCAAGGCCAGCCTGACCACATAGTGAGACCCTGTCTAAAAAAGACAAAATAAATTATATTCTTCATAATTTTTCTTTTTCTTAAATTATTTCTTATATATGTGCTAATTGCATAGTATTTTAAGATTTATGCATTAAATTATTTTGAAAAGGAAATCGTGTAAGTGATAGATATGAAGTGTGATCTAAAATATGGCAAATACTTAATTGAACAAAATTACAGTAAAGGACACATTGCCATCAGTTTCCCTCACAGTACCTCCCCTTGTTTTTAAGACACTCATCCTATGGTTCTTGCCATTTTCTGAAGCAGTTCTGGAAGTCCTCTTTCATGAGTGTCTTTACATGTATTGTTGTGGCTTCTTTGATGTAAAATTGGGCAGAGCTGGAAGTCACCCTGTGTCATAGCTTAACATGGCAGTGTCAGTTAAATCCCTAACTCTGTCTTTCTCTTTCTCTCTTTCTCTTTCTCTTTCTCTTTCTCTTTCTCTTTCTCTTTCTCTTTCTCTTTCTCTTTCTCTCTCTCTCTTTCTCTTTCTCCTCTGTCTCTGTCTCTCTCTTTTTTTCTTTCTTTCTTTCCTTCCTTCTCTATTTCTATCATCCTTAAAAGCACTGCAAAGATACACCCTCTTTTCTTTTAGAGTACATTTATGGTAATTTTCATATTCACATGGCCGTGTTCTGCTGATGAGTGATTTCAGCCTCCAGAAGCGAGACTGTGCCGACCCAGTCTCCAGCTGTGCTGTCTATGATGCAAGGGAAGACAGCCACTATTACGTGCTGGGCCAGTCAGAACACTCCATCTGATCTGCATTGGTACCAGCAGAAAACAAATGAGGAGCTCCAAAGCTCCTCATTCAGTGAGCCTTCCAGTCCATCTCAGGGATCCATGTGAGGTTCAGTGGCAGTAGTTCTGGCACAGATTTCTCCCTTACCATCATCAGCCTGTGACCTGATGATGTCACAAGTTATTACTGTCACCAGGGATAGAGTATTCTTCATACTGCACAACAAACCTGAACAAAAACTAATTCAGCCTGGATGAGCAGGGAGACTGGGTACTACCACAATCTTCTGATCTTTTCAGGTGCAGATGGGTCATGGACCTCACCAACACCCTGAAGTTTGTCAGCCCAGCAGAGCTGAAATTTCAGAGCCATTGCTTCACATATTAGTCACAACTTCAATTATAGGAATTTTTCTAAATAAATGAATAGCTGTTGAAGATAGTTCTCTTTGTATCCATCTAAGGATTTTCTACTTTGTCCTTCACAAATTGGTGAAACTTTAAAGTTTTCCATAATGGCTCTAATTAGTCATTAAGGTTCAATAGTCTTAAAGGGAGAATACTGTGAAATTACCAACAATTGTCTGGAGTTGAGGGGAAAGAAAATGTCCCTGGACAAGAAACCCTCAGCCTCGAATCATTTTCTAGCACTGCAACAAGCAGGGTATTCTGGGTCCCTCACTCTTTCCCAAAACTATTTTTTTTTTGTCATTTTGTGTAGTCACATTCCTGGACCTTGACTACCCTGTGACCATTATCTTTGCAGTATTCCAGGAGAATTATTAGCTATTTGTCTTTAATAGTTGCATGATTTATTACAGAGAGGAATCATTTAAATTTTCTATAGAATCTTTTCTGTTAATGGGCAGAATAGGAACGGGTTCCTGAATACGATACTGGGAGGGGGGCTTTCAGTGAAGACATTAGGGACCCAAAATAAAACATTGTTGCTACAAATCTTCCATTAAATGGCAAACAAACCCCACAATACACAAAGCCAGAGTCCTCATCTTAGAAGCTAAATGAATGAATGTTGGAATATTGAAGTGAAAATTTCCCATTATAGGAGGGAGCTCTGGGTCCAGCTCCCTAGGCTCAAATCCTGGGGCCTCAGGTCATAATGGGTCATGTCTCCCCCATCTTCCAGTTCCTCAGGATTTCCTGCTTTTCACTGAGGTATGTATGAACCTGGGTATGATGTCCCTTCTAGGAGGATTCTTAGAGTCTGAACTCGGTCAGTAATGAGACAGGAAGGGCGAGAGAAGCAGGTGCATAGCTCTGAATGAGGGAGGTTATAAGTCAAATAGGGATGAAGAAGTCTTGTGAATTCGGAAAGGGAGGGGAGAGAACTTATAGATCCCATCTCCATTAAAAGGTACAAAGTATGTTATGAACCAAAATTAGAACAGTGTTTACTAATCTTATGGGAGAACAGCTGGATTCTACTCTATGGTCCAAGGGAGAAACACATTCTCTCTTGAGGGAAATCTGTGCCACCCAGTGCTGGAAGAGACCCCAGAAAACCATGGACCCCTAATGAGCTGCCACAGCCCTGGAGCTGTGTGCAACCCTGCCCAGGCTCTGCTGATTTGCATGTGCACAAAACACAGCCCATGCCCTAAATATTTCTTCTTAGGTTGCTCACAACCTATGCAGGAGTCACTCACAGTCCGGACACAGCGTGTACATGAGGATCTCTACTCAGCTCCTGGGGCTTCTAGTGCTCTTGCTCCAAGGTGAGAAAGGATTGATCTTGCAATTTAGTCTATTTAGAGTCCCGTGGTCAGAGATGCCTGGCTCTACAGGGAGGTCCTGTTTTACCATGGTTGTGATGATACATGTTGTTTCTGATCTCAGGTGTCAGATGTGACTTCCAAATGACTCAGGCTCTGCCTCCTTGTCTGCATCTGTGGGAGACACAGTCACTATCAACTGCAAGGCCAGTCAGAGTATAGGCACTGCTTTAAACTGGTACCAACAGAAACAAGGGAAAGCTCCTCAACCGCTGATCTATGCTGCAACCAGTTTGCACACAGGGGTCCCATCCAGGTTCCGTGGCTCTGGATCTGGGACAGATTTCAGTCTCACCGTCAGCAGCCTGCAACCTGAAGATGTTGCTACTTATTACTGTAGTATGCTACTCCCACAGTGACACAAAACATATAAAACCTACCCAAGAAATCAGAACTGTGAGGCTGGGCTGCCCCGGCTCAGTTCTCACCGCAGCTGTGCTCAACTGCTGAGAGCAGTTCTCTGAGCCGGCCAGGTTTAGAAGCTCCCTGGGCGCTTTAGAAGAAGAATCAAGACTCTCCTCTACACCCTAACTCTCCTTTTCCTCAGCTCCAGTAGCACAGACAACAAAATTGTGGTCCTGACTTAATGAAGACAATGAGCGGTGGGGTTATGGCATCGTTTTGGATTCAGATAATAGAGAAGCCCTTCTATGTTTTTAAGCAAGGATTTTTAAAGGATTGATTCAGTTTTTAGTGTAGATTTGTAAACTGAAAAATTTAAAATAGAGAGGTGGCCCTGATTACCCTGTGTACATGGCTATGCCGTCTATCATTAACATCCAAGGACAATTTTGTTACAAACAATCATGATCCAAAAATGTGTGAAGTCCATTGTTTACATGCAGCTTCGCTCTTGGTGCTGTACATTTCAGCAGGGGAAACAAATGTGCACTAACACACATGCAACGTTTGCTACCATGCGATTTTGTTTCACTGCCCTAAAAATTATCCCTGTATATTCTCCTCCAGTTCCCGCCAGTGATTTGTTTTTTATCATTCCCATCGTTTATCCTTTTCCAAAATGACAAAATCTTGCCTTTATAGCATAGAAGCTTTTGAAAGGTAATCTCAGATTATGCTGTATTAAGAAACACAATAATTAAAAGTATTGAGTAACACATCTTTGTACTTACAAGGCTCTCTTTATCCTTTCTGTGATTAACTGGAGTATCTTGGCTTAGTGATTGTTTTGGGATAGAAGCTTTCAATGTGTTGATTCTGGCTCAGAAGTCACCAGATATACATAGGTTTGCTTGGAGTAAGAGTCTACTACTATTCTTAAAACTTGGAGATGAATATTCACAATCTTTTGCCCCTACCTTTAACTGGATTCACAGGTAGAAATTTAGAACTCTCACTGTTTTTGTTTGTAACACCTAGGGTAAATTCAAAAGGTTT